ATCATCATCATCATCATCATCAGCGTGTCAATTACCTAATCATCGCCATCAATCATTATCATCATTATAGAATGACATACCATTAATACCTAGTAAATATTCATATCCACAGCCCTAAGGTTGCCGAGGAGAAAATTCGCTATGCTGCTTATAACTGCGTAGCAATCGACACCGATGTCAGTCCATGGGAAGAGTAATGATGAGCCAGCACTGYCAATCAACCAGCGGTTTACTTATAATCAGGTGGACCATTTCWGACATTGTGATTACAGTGCCATTGCACAGCGGTAAAATCAAGACAAATCGCACATAATGTATACATGACCACCGCTTCAATGAACGTTATAGAAATTTTCCAATTTTTAAACTGCATCTTATTTGATTCCCAATGTCACGCGGCTCTTTATTTCAGTTGCGTGACCAAACCATCATTGCAGTGTACACAGATTGCACTTATATTTTTATTAAAAAATATGTTGCCTCGTTATATTAGCTTAAGATTTTMAAATCAAATCCTAAAAAAATGTTACCAAATGTTATGAATAAGAATATAATACAATTATAGTTGTGTAAAGTTTGTTATGCGACACAGTAAATTTGCTTTTATTTATGATGATTTTCTTATTTTTTTTTCGTTTGTTCACTGGAAGGAGCTTAAAAAGCAAAGTAACAACGATACAGGTTATGTGATATTTTTATTGTGTTCTACAAGTAGGGTAAACCATCATTACAAAATAGTGAAAAAGTACGTGTCTTACAATTAAAGGGTGCGCGGTCAACCGGCATCCCTTGCGAGCTTCTTTTTTTTGACAMTATTTCAATTACACCTCAGAAACTTGTTGTTTTTAATTGTTTAGACCCATWAGATAATCTAGGTGGTGTTCACAGRAATCTCCWAAAAATAGARSGCAGGTTTCAAACCCARSGAAGAAATCGAACTAAGCCAAACGACTTTGCGTCTATCCTTGCCGTTGTCTTGAATAACATTTGCAGTGAGAAGGAATATAGAAATTTCGCCAGGTCCAGTACCATCTAAAGCCGCGCTGAACACAGATACGCATTGTCAACCTGATTCTCTTCAATCGACAATAACCAAGCCATCTTCCACTGCACCAATAGCAAAGCCGGTTTCTACCGCAGTCAAAATTATACACTACCAAAAAGGCTGTATTGCCGAGAGTGATTTGGTAATTTCCTGTCCTTCTACGGCGGCACATTGGTGATCGACTGAAAAGATGAGAAGCTTGGTGCTGCAGAACGGCCGGCTCTTCTTCCTGTGGTTCAGGTTTTAAATTATGTGGTTTTTCTCCATCACGGAAAATACTAATTAAAGAAAAAAGGAAAAAAACACTTTACTTTCCTTAATTTACTTGATAAACACATCCTTTTGCCATCTTCATGCCTTTTTTCACTCACAAAGTATTCTGTATAATTTGTCCTTAGATAGACTATATCTGTTTCACTAAAAACATCGAGGCACTYGGCGTCATGCTAGTCTAACCCTATTTCTGCTTAGTTTGTGGACAATTTGCTTTGTGGATTTACACTTATAGTAAGAAAAAACAAAACACAAGCTATAAAATCTTGCCTCACCCCAGGACATTTGGATTTCGCAGAACGCCTTGCTTTTCCATCTCTCTGTTGATTTCTTCAAACGATGGACCTTCTTCAGATTCACTAGCTATGTTCTTGTCTTGAAAGTCAGAATCCTCTGCATCGTGAGCTTCCAATTCAACATCATTCCAAGCCAAGCAGCCAGCCAGACCAAGGATGAAAACAACGAAGGACACGCGCATTATGTCTGATAAGAATAAGATATGAATGAGAAGAAGAAATACATTGGAATCCAAGAAATATATATTATCCTCATTTTTCATCAGGTGGTGAGTTAAAAAAAAATTGACGCGAGTTTAAATAACATAAGCTGAAACGTTCATGTCAAATATTTTACTTGAATAAGCGAGGATTATAAAAAACTAATTAAAGTCATTTTGTAATGACATCCTAATAATTTTCCCCTTCCCTAAAAAGCTACCTCACCTTACAAATGTTTTCGTCACTACTGAAAGTTTTAGACTTCGCAGTCTCTGTCTGTATGGTGTACTTTACATAGCACTAAGTGTTTTTGTATTATTGATCAGTAATTCAGGCTGCAATATCTGAAAGTACTAAAAATAAAGAAAGGGGCAATCACATGACAAAGCAGTGCTTTTGACCTTTTCTGCTTGCTTTGCTGCAGACACTACATCCTACTTTTACTCTGTAATCATATCTGTTGYTATTGACGTCTTGGCGTTAAATATAGTATCAATGATCCAATACTGGTCAATTAGAAAAGTACACGAACCAGATCAGTTGTTCTAGAACGGCAAAATTCCTGCACGATCCCATAACAAAATCGTCGCTCAGTGGTTTAAAATAATTACAAAAAATTAAAATTAAAATGTTAGGATATCTTCCGATCAAATCTGATAAAACTCATGGATGGCATTTTTCGCTCAGTTATCGTATAAATGAACCTGTTTTTATTTAAACKTTTGATAACCACTTGAATCTATTGTCAACACTTGAAAACCACTTTGAACCCTTAGAGCACTACTGAAAGTATTTGTGGTTGTACATGATTATTACTTCGTTATGTTCGATTTTTGTTGCTGTAAAGCTTTCTAATAGAGTACAAACATTAAATGTGTGCAACACTTTCCACTATTTACTACAAATTAGTGCTAAATAATCAATGATTCTAAATTATTGAGAAATCCTGAATCTTAGCGCAAAAAAAAAAACAAAAAAAAACAGGGAATCAGGAATCTTTGTTTTTTAACTGTCACTACTCATATAGGGAATCAGGAATCATTTTTAAAATCTTCGATGAAGTTTGTAAATGAATAAGGAATCAATGGATTAAAACTTGAAGGGAATCATGTCTCGTCGTTTCTTGAAATTTCCGCTTCCGCCCCCAAAACACTATGAGGAAGTAAAGTGAAGTTTCAAGCTACATTGATGACAAAGAGGTAGATTGATGAATCAACATATTAATCAGTAATGCTGGATGCCATAAGGTACCCTATCAAACATTTCTGTCTAAATCGAATCTATTTAAAAACTTTATTTTAAACCACTGAGCGACGATTTTGTTATGAGATCGTGCAGGAATTTTGCCGTTCTAGAACAACTCATCTGGTTCGTGTACTTTTCTAATTGACCAGTATTGGATCATTGATACTATATTTAACGCCAAGACGTCAATAGCAACAGATATGATTACAGAGTAAAAGTAGGATGTAGTGTCTGCAGCAAAGCAAGCAGAAAAGGTCAAAAGCACTGCTTTGTCATGTGATTGCCCCTTTCTTTATTTTTAGTACTTTCAGATATTGCAGCCTGAATTACTGATCAATGATACAAAAACACTTAGTGCTATGTAAAGTACACCATACTGCTGGTCCCGACGAGACTGGCGTCAGTTTGTGACWCAGCCAAGAAAAGTGAAGGTGATCACTGGTCAATTGAAACACGACGTTCTGAAGTCGTTGCAATTATTGTTGCAATTATRYATGTCGATCTCAWTAGTTTCCYTYACATCRCATTTCACCTTCAATTATTTCAATAWTTTTTGTAGATGCGTGTGAGTTTCTTTATTGCTTTGCTTGGGCTGTTGGTTGGCAGCACTTTAGCCGCGATYGAGGACGACCCGATYGATGCAATCCCYCTTAGTGAWGAAGAATTAGATGAYGAACTGCGACAACTCAAAGARGACACTCACCCATCGTTTGATGAAATAAAGGAGAAACTTGAAGAGACCGGAATATTGAGACATGAAAGGGTYATTGGGTAAGATTGAAAGTACATTTATTGTATAACTCCGACTGCAATCTTCTCTCTTCGTGGACCATAATGATTATTAAATACCCGAACATTGCCCGAATGAAGTTAACGTTTATATATAACTGATATATAATCTATATGAGTTTTTGAATAAAGACTTGTATTTTAATTCTGTGAAAAATTATGCTAATCAATTCAGTAATATAGTGGTTTTCATTAACCCGTGAAACACAGTTTAGCGTATTTAGCGCTATTACACTTTGGCTCTGTTGTTTTTTGTTGTCTCTACGCGACTATTACGATCTATTACTCTAATTATTACACTTTGTTTCACGGGTTTATGAAAATCACTACTGCTAGTTAAGGTATGTGACTAGTCCAACAAACACCATATAAGGTGTATTAGCAATGTATTTCACGGGTTTAGGGGTTTACAGTCACGTGGCTTCTTCTTTGAAGCTGATTAGAACTAAAGAGGATTGATATTCATGAATATAATATCAAAACATTTGATTTTTTTAGCCTTTTCCCTCGAAGCCACCGGTCGAACTTTACAGGCAACTCTACAACGGCTTCTCCAACAAATAAACCAAATTCTACACAGCCAACCCCAACAACGTCGAGGTTTCGTACCACTACAACGTTTCGTACCACTACAAGGTTTCGTACCACTCGAAGGTTTCGTACCACTCGAAGTCGATTCTTTTCAACAACCATGCGACCTTTTACGACCAGGCGACCTTTTCCAGTTCTAAATCGTCCCATGTGCCTTGAGTATAATTGGAGACCTCGTGTTTTTCAATTTGGAAACACCGTGTCCCTTCTAATTCACGACTTCACCTGTAGAGGAAGTTGTGGGCGCTGTGGGAGGATTGTTGGATTTTGCAGAAAGACCTACACCTGGATCACTCTTCGAGCTCTTTTTCATGGAAGGTACCTCAGCAAGTTCACTAGGCTGTGGAGCTTTGGATGGTATTGGTCTTGGAAATCAGTCCAAGTCCCATCATGTTGTAAATGTTACAGTAGATACCCTTAACTCAGTCTTGCTTGATCTTCCTGCGTGCGCTTTCCTAGCTTWATCGTAGAGTCGGTCCAAATCAATAATAATTAATACTACAACGATATGTTAACAAGTCCTTAGTTTCAATACAAATGACTTGAACTCAATTTAAATTTTTCCACAACTCTTCAATTCAATAGAGAAAAGACATCAATTCTAGTATAAAAATACATGATCAATTCGTTCATCCATCATTTCTGTATCTTTGATTTCGCGTTTTACTTCTAAATTAAGTTTCGCAAGGATAACATAAAAGGTTTTAGGTCAATATTACATACCACAATCTCCGCCATTACATTCAAGTTGTACTGAACACTAAACCGTTTTCAACATTAAACAAAATAAACAGCATTATTGTATGACTCTTTCTCTTTTTGACGAAAATGCATGGACTATTATACCCCACACGAACAATTAGTAAAACTTTTAGGCTGTTTTTGGGCACTTTTCATGGGAAATAGTCCATCAAAAATCACGATTTTGGACTGTTTTTGGGCACAGGCATTTCGCGGGCTATAGCCCATGAATTTTGATCAAAAATCGACCATTTTTGGCCATTTTGATGGACTATAGCCCATTCATTTTGATCAAAAATGGACCCTTTTTTGCCATT